CCACACACCAGGCCTTGTTACCACATAGTCTGCCATTACACATCACCTATTCGTAGTCACTAACAGGTCCCATTAACAACTACTCACCCTCCCAGCCTGATCATTATCAACTCTTTGTCTGTCCAACTGGTCTTCTCTCTCTTAGGCTCTATCCTATCATTTACTCCCTATTCTTCCCTCCCTCACTATTTTCTGGATATAAATTGACGTTTTCCCAGCTATCAACAGTTCTGAGGAAGGGTCAACAAACCTGAAACGTTAACTCTGTTTTTTCCTTCACAGATGCTGAGCTTTTCCAGCAACTTTGTTTTTGTTCCTGACTCAAAGCATCCACAGTTCTTTCAGTTTTTACGTACTGATGAACTGATCGTTGATTCCTATCGCTGTTGCCTGTAAGACATTAAATTCTAGATGGCGAATTCCAAAGTTTACTTGTAGACAAAGTTGAACTGCCAGCAGGTTCCACAGCTTATCAAGATTCTTTGGTTCTCAATTCTTCCACCTATCCACTCTGTCCATCTTGATTTTGAACACTTTTTCAAATCTCCCTCAACCTTCACAGTTCTAAAAGGAACAACCTCTAGCTTCTTCAATCTATCCACATAATTGAAATTCCTCATCTCTGCAATCATTCTCAGAAATAGTTTGTATACCATCTGTAAAGTTTTTAAATCCTTCTTAAATAATATTGCAGTTGTAGCTGGAATTGTGTTTTCTAAAGGTTCACTGTAGTTTCCTTGTTTTTATATTGCATGCCTCTATTTAATAAGTCCAGTATCCTATATGCCTTTTAACCACTTTCTCAATCTGTTGGAGTGTATTGGTGAAGCTGGTTCTTGCAGTTAACCCTCAGAAGATGAAAACACCGTAAGAAATAGGAACAGGAGTAAGCTATTCAGCTCCTCAAGTCTACACCATTCCACATGATCCAACACTCCTCATGTCTACTTTCCTGCCCTTTCCCCAAAGCCCTTGATTCCCCAACTGATCAAGAATCTATCTCAACCTTAAATATACACAAGGATTCTGCCCCCACAGCTGTCTATGGAAGAAATTCCAAGAAAAATAAACACTCTGAGAGAAAAAAATTCCTCCTCATTTCTGTCTTAAATTGGTACCCCCATATTCTGAGACTATGCCCTCTGGCCCTAGACTCTTCCATGAGGGCCAGCATTGATACTGTCAACCCCTTAAGAATTTTATGTGTTTCAATGAGATCGCATCTCATTCTTCTAAACTTGAATAAGTCCCAAACTTTATAGCCTTTGCTAATAAGACAATTCCTCCATACTGGAGATCAGCCTAGTGAACCTTCTCTAAACTGCCTCCAATGAAATGATGTGGTTCCTTAAATCAGGGGACCAAAACTCCTATAGTATTCCAACTGTGGTCTCACCAGCACCTTGTACATATGCAGTAAAACTTCCCTACTCTTATATTCCAACACCCTTGAAGTAAAGGCTAACATTCCCTCAGCCTACTTGATTACTGTCAGCACCTGTGTGCTAGCTTTGTGTGTTTCATGTACAAATACTCTCAAATCCCTTTGTGTTGCAGCTTTCTACAGTTTTTCTCCATTTAAGTAATATTTTATTCTTTTGTTCTCCCTTCCACAATGAACAACGTTATATTTTTACTACATTATACTCCATTTCCCAATTTTTGCCTGCTTATTTATCAGTTTCTCTCTGTAAACTGTTAGTATCCCCCCACAATGTGCCTATCCATCTATTTTGTGTCATCTGCAAATTTGGCTACAGTACATGCAGTTCCTTCTTCCAAGTCATTAATGCACTGAAATAACTGCACAGAGGCCAGGTCCCATCACCAGGGCACCCTTTATTTACTGGTGTACAGTACTGGTGTGGCCAGCCAGCTTGGAGTCAGTCCCCTGAACTGAGGAGAATCTGACTCCTGGTTATAATTTTTTTTTTATTTTCTGATTTGAGGGAGAAATTCTAATTTGTATAAAGCCCAACAGGATCTTTGTAAGGTCACCACAGTTCTTATCACATTATATAGTTCATCACCAAGATGGCATTTACACCAGCAATGGTCTGAAGAAGTTGCCTATTAACAAATAACATTTCATTTTCTTCATCAGAAGCAAACTAATAGAGTTTGCTTCAGCTTGATATGTCAATGCTTCTCTTTAGTTACACAAATTATTAATGACAGGAGAGAATATAAAGTTGAAAGCATTCAAAGGTAGCTTTAGATATATTAATGAAAAATGGAAAGTTTTTAGTTTCAGGCTTATTGCTAACATTTAAATAGTGGATTAGAACTTGAACTTAGTAGTGTCCATCTTTGGGCATCCTAGGTGTCATTAGGGATTCATAATGGTTTCAGAGGCACAAGTCAAATACTATCTTGGTGAAGACATTGGTGCGTGTACGTGTTAACCTTTGTCATAAATAGGTATATGAAATAACTGCACAGAGGCCAGTGTCCCATCACCGCATGACCCGTTATTTACTACGGCACAGTACCACTGGCTGTTGCCATCCAGCTCGGAGTCGATCCTTAACTGATGAGAATCTGACTCCTGGTTATATTGATCAGCCAAGGATTTCCTGATTGGCCCAGGATAACAAATCAATCAAGGACCTTGTAGTCAACAAGGTTCCAATCACTAATAAACATTATAAAGTTTTGGTACCAGCACTGATCCCTGTGGAACCCCACTGGTTACAGGTCACCAACCTGAAAAAGAACCCCTAATCCTGACTTCTACCAATTCTCTATCCATGCTCATAGACGACCTCCAGTACCATGGCTTTCATAACTTAATCTTTTATGAGTTACCTTGTCGAATGCTTTCTAGAAGTCCAAATACAAGACATCTACTTGTTTCCCTCTATCCACTCTGTTTGAGACTTTCTCAAAAAAACTTGAATAAATTAGTCAAACACAATTTCCCTTTCATGAGGCCATGCTGTTTCTGCTTGTTCAGATTATGATTTTCCAAATGTTCTGTTATTACATCCTTAATAATTCATTCCAATATTTTTCCAACAATAGATGTTAGGCTAATCAGCCTATAGTTACCTGCATTTTCCCCTTCCCTCCCATTTTGAATAGGGGTGTCACCTTAATAGTTTTCCAATCCTCTGGTACTTCTCCAAAATCCAATGATTTTTGGAAATTTGTAACCAATGCATCTACTATCACTATCGCTACCTCTTTTACTATCCCAAGATGAAAATCATCAGGGCCAGGGGACTTATTAATTTGTCTAAAAATACTTCTTCAGTGACGTTACCTACTTCTCCCCTGTTTTCTTTTGTATTAATGGAATATTCGAAGTATCCTCCACCATAGATACTGATACAAATCATCTGTTTAACTCCTCTGCCAGCTCCTTACTCCCCAAACCCATCCCATCAGATTCATTTTCAAGGGGATCTGTTTGCACTTTGACTTCTTTCTTCCTTTTTATATATTTAAAGGAGCTCATTGTCAGATGTTATATTCCTTGGAAGTTTGCCCGTATAGTTTATTTTTCCTGCCTTTATTATCTTTTTAATCCTTGTTTGCTGGATTTTGAATTTATCCCAATCTTTAGCGCTATCACTGACTTTGGCCTCTTTATATGCTTTCTCTTTCAACTTTTTCTTTATTTTCTCTTTCTTCTTATCTTTCATATGGGGAAGGGGCGAGTGTGGTCTGCATTGTCATCTAGATTGATCCATCAGTGAAGAGATGGTGCTGAAGAGAGGCAATTCTGATGTTGGTGGGTCCGGCACTGGGGGCAGTGAGGCGATGTTAGATGGGTATCAGCATTAATGGCATGGGTGGCGAGGTGGGCCCAGTGGCAAGAGATGGTACCTGAAGGGTGGTGACACCGACTTCTCTGGTTGCAGCGCTGGTGGCGGCGAGGTGGTAGTTGAGGGACAACAGCATCAACAGCAGCATTGGCAATTTGGACCTAGCTGCTGGAGATGGCGCCTGAAGTGTGGCGACTCCAACATTGTGGGTATGGCAGGTCAGTGACAGAGTGAAGCTTTGAACTGGAGCAGCTGATAAAGAACAAAGATGGACTCTCAGTTATTTTTATTTTGGTTTCAAAATATTCCAAATAGCGCTAGAACGTGACGACAGTTGAAGTTTTTCACTGTATTTTCCCTGAAATACAAATGACAATAAATCATTCAATTCAATTCAGTTCAGTAATATTCTCCTTAATATCCTTGATTAGCCATGATTAGTTTGTCCTCTCTAGAATCCTTCCTCCTTATTGGGATGTACTTTTGCTGAGAGTCATGAATTACTTCCTTAAATGTCTGCCACCGCTTGCTTCCTGCTCCTCTGATGGTGCTTGGCCTGCTGTGTTCATCCAGGTCTACACCTTGTTATCTCATCTATTCACCCAATTCACTTCATGATTATTTATAATATTAACTTAGTCCATTGGTGCAATTTCCAGCCCCCATATATAAAGACACGGACTTTAGGACCTTCAGTAAACTGCCCGCTTCCGCCAGACAACAGATGACGATAGGCCTCGCCTTTCTCTGATTGATCTATTCAATAACCGACCGCCCATCTCAATTTCGATTGGCCCATTGTGAAGAGAATAAAATAATTCCCCGTTTTGATTGGTTTATATTCGTCGGGCAACAGATGACGACAATTACTTGCCCAGTTCTGAGGAAGGGTCATCGGACCCGAAACGTTAACTCTGTTTTCTCCTCCACAGATGCTGCCAGACCTGCTGAGCTTTTCCAGCAGCTTTATTTTTGTTCCTTCCCAGGCTGATTGGACTCCTGTTATGTTTCTGTTCTTGACTGGCTGCACTTTGCCGATATCGCGCCTTTGATTAGTGTACTGTCTATGCTAGCTGGGCTGTCCTTATTGGTTCCTGTCCTCCCGCCGCCAGTACTGATTGGATGTATTGCCCTTAATACTAATTGGTCAGTGCTTGTCCAAATCGGTGGTTCTGTTCTAACTTCTTGATTCTGATTGGTTGCAGTTTCTATATAAAGATCCTCCCGGGTAGGAGTGGGTTTTAGTCTCTGGTTCTTCAGGAATGGATCTGTTTAGAGTGTCTGATTCCCGCTCCCTGTGGATCCGGATCCCCCTCCTCATCGGGACATTCATCCTCCTCAATGGAGGGAGAGACAGCGGAACTGGTGAGTGACCCTGGAGGGAGCGAGGCTGGAGACTGCACTGCCCGGGACACGGGGACAGCAGTCCGGGGTTTGTGGGGATCGGATGGATCCCGGCTATAAACGGGGTTGGGGTTTCGTCCGTGTGGCGGCAGGTCAGTCTGAGGCATTACCACCACCGGCGGAGTTTGTAATGTTCTCCCTCACGCCCTCTCTCGGATACACACTCTGGATCTGTATTCCCGTGCTGACTTCCTAGCGATCTCCTCTTGACTCTTTAATAAACAGTACCCACAATTAGAAAATTACAAAGTCCTTGCAGCAGATCGTTAGCAACGCCCTGTGATGTACCGCTCTATGTTTGTATGTGTTTCTATCTCTGCCTAATTTTAAGAAACCCTAATTTCACACTTTGTGCGGCGTGCAGGGAATACCTTTAATCACTCGTGATATGAAGCATTGTGAAGTTTGCGTCTTTAAAACCATCCTGGATTGAATATTAGGGTCGTTGGCTCCAATTACTGAAGCGTTAATTGAGCTGACGAGAGATAGGTGGCTACTTACAACATGCGCTTACTTGGAATATTTAAGCTTCTTTAAAGATTGGTCGTCTTTCTCTCCATTCAGTTTTGAGTATTCGGTGCACCGAGAGGTAGAAAGGTGTTCATTCCTTCCATCCAGTGAGGTGAGCTAATCCACCAGGTTAAGGTATTCATGCAGCCCGTGGTTATCAGAGGTGATGTTGTGAGACATTTTCTGTTCCTCAGTGGGAGCTGTGTTATATTCGAACCTTTTATACTAGGCTGTTAGTTTAGTAAAGGACACTACTGGAAATCTGAATTTTAAAAAAAAAACTATTAATGTGCTAGAAAAGCTCTGCTGATCTGAAAGAAATGGTTAATGCACCAGGTCGATTACATTTTTTAAAAAATGTGAAATATTTCAAGCAGTGGTAAAAGTGTGGCCAGGAAGGTGTGCGAGGTACAAACAAAGGGAAGCTGAGTTGGAAAACAGCTTAAATGATTGCCCGGAATATTGGAAAAGGGTAAATTTTAAGGCCGAAAACAGGAAACTATTATCCAGTCAGCCTAACATTCGTCAGAGGGTGATATGATCTCTAACAGAAGTTAGAAAAGATCCTTAAATTATGATGCGATCAGGAAAAACCAATGGGGTTTTGTGAAAGGAAATTGTTAAAGTAATCCAATAGCTTTTGGTGCAGTAACACCCATGGTAATTAGAGGGGATTGGGAGATGTGGTGTACTTCAATTTCCAAAGGCATTTGAGGCGCCAAAGCAAAAGTTTGCTGTGCTGAATAAGAACAAAGTTTCGGGGAATAACGTATCAGCATGGATAAAGAACTGATGAGCTAACTTTTAAGTAGAAATGAATGGCATAACAAGGTGTGGAGCTGGAGGAACACAGTAGGCCGGGCAGGAAAGCTGACGTTTCGGGTTTGGACCCTTCAAAAACGGGGGAGGGGAAGGGGGCTCTGAAATAAATGGGGGGTGGGGGCGGTGATAGTAGGAGGATAGTGGAGCAGATAGATGGAAGAGAAGACGGACAGGTCAAGGAGGCAGGGATGAAGCTAGTAAAGGTGAGTGTAAGTAGGGATTGGGGGTGGCTGTTGGTAGTGAGGTGGGAGGAACGGATAGGTGGGAACTCTATAGTGCCACAGGGATCAGTACAAGAATCTGTTATCTACAATCTGATTTGGTGAGTGGATTGAATGTATGATAGCTAAATTTACTGATGATGCCAAGGTAAGCAAGTTAAGGAGTTAAGCGAATGGTTAAAATTTGACATGTGGATTAAATGTGAACTCTCCCACTTTGGCTGCAAGAATAGAACACCGTATACTCTTTAAATGGGAGAGATCACAGAACCTGTGGTAGAGGGGAAGCTGGGTGTGCTGGAGCATAAATCAAAGTTGATATGGAGGTACACAGTCTTTTTAGAAGGCAAAAGGAATGTTGTAACTTATTGCAAGGAGCCTATTAAGGATGTTTTATTGCAGCTGTATAGGTTTAGGTGAGACCACATCTGAAGTACTGTGTACAGTTTTGGTCTTGTTTGAAACAAAAATAACTGGTTCAGAAGCTGTCTCTAAAAGGTTTAAGTCAAAAATCATATAACACCAGTTGTATAGTCTAACAGATTTATTTGAAATCTCAAGCTTTTGGAGTGCTGCTCCTTCATCAGGTGTAGTGAGAGGGCAGAGTTCTCCAGTTGTTCATTCCACTCACCAGTTGTATGATCCTTGCATCTCTTTGCCTTTAAACTGTCTGTGTGCCCTCTCTCTACACCTGATGAAGGAGAAGCACACCGAAAGCTTGTGATTTTCAAATAAACTTGTTCGACTGTAACCTGCTGTTGTGTGATTGATTGATTTATTTTTTGACTGTCCACTCCAGTCCAACACTGGCAACCTCACCTCACACAAGGTTTAGTTGACTGATTCCTTGGGTCAAGGGCTTATCTTGGAAGGCAGGGCTGCATAGTCAGCTCCATATGTTGCTGTTTAGAAAAAAATTAGCAGTGACCTTACTGTAACATAAAATGTTGAGGGGACATGATACTGTGGATATCAGGGAAATGTTGCCTTTTATGGGGAGAGTGCAGGTTTAAAAGAACTAGAGGTTTCCTTTTTAAGACTTAAAATATTGAGGGTCATCAAGTGGCATTTCCATCCCAGCAGCTAGTGGAGGCTGAACCTTTAAATTTAATCAAAGCAATCTCACTGAAGCCTATCAAAAATCTAAGGAGTCAAGGGTTGAGGAAAGTAGAGCCAAGACCATAACCAGATCAGCCATTATCCCATTGAATGGAACAGTAGACACAAAGAGCTGAATAGCCTACTACTGCTCTGTTGATTGTACAAAGTGAGGATGTAGTAATCAGGTGAGTAAATAAACAAAAAATGTGTTGATATGAATGAAAATGCAGAATCATTACAAACAGCTACCATTCACAAATGTTGAGCAGTGGTTTTGTCTGAATTTTTGAACTAGGTCTGCAAAGCTCTAAAGTGCGTAATGGAAGGATAAAATGCATGTGGTTCCTCCAGCTTCAAACCACTGTCCTGACCCAAGGGCAGTAAAGCTTTGAAGAGTGTCTCCCCTTTGATTGTTATGCAAGTTGATGTTGACTAAAAGATACTTCATTGTTATGGATGTACTCACAGGTGTGGTCAGTAATAACCTGAATTTTGACACAATCTTGTGCATGTGACTTATTCCCCTAGTCTTAAAGACATTATTACTCACCCATATTGTCTGTATTTGAAATGCTTTAAAAAGTTGGAACCAAATTAGGGTCCCTTGTGGCACAGTGGTAATGTCTGCTCCTTTGAGCTAGGAGGCCTGGTGTTAATCCCACCTCCTCCAGAGGTGTGAAATAACACCTCAACAGGTTGATTCAAAAATGCATAGACTGAGGAACTCCTGCAGAAATGTCCTTGGACTGTGGTGACTGAGAATTTCAAATCTTGGGGTTTTTGTGCAGTGGTAGTGTCCCTACTTCTGGGGGACTTTGCAGTAGTGTTCGTGTCCTTACCTATAAACCAGAAGGCCTGGGTTCAAGTCCCATCTGCCAAGGAGATGTGATTGTCTGAATAAGTTGATTTTAGTTTGGGCAATTACTACCATATTTTAATAAAAGTATCACACCCCAGTGGATATTCAGAGGGCTATGGAAATGTGCTGTCATCTTCCCTCCAGCTTGTTTTATATCTTGTCTCCTGATGACTGTGCATGTTACTGATCTCTAATACAAATGATCAGCAGGTTTCTCTCCCCATTTCTGAAGAAGGGTCTGGAACCGAAATGTCAGCTTTCCTGCTCCTCTGGTGCTGCTTGGCCTGTTGTGTTCATCCAGCTCTACAGCTTGTTCTCTCCTGGACCTATGTGTTCAACAGATCTGCTGTATAACCTTGGTCATTGTTTAATCTGACTGAACCACAGCAACTGCCTTTGACCCTTGGTCTCCTAATCTCTACTGCTCCAGGACTAAGCAGTAGAGTAAAATAACATTATAGACCATCTCCATGAGCCAATTTTTCCTGCAATTAATTTGAGGAATTCAGTCTAGGACTTCTCAAGATTGAGCATAGTTAGATATAGGCAGGAGAACCTGTCAGATCTGAAATCTGCCCTCCCATTTCTCTTCTGCCTCACCTTTCCTTCCCCAAGTTAATCTTGTCCAATGAGCAGTCTCTTGTTTCTTGACCATATTCCTCTTGAAAGGATACCTGTCCCTGTCAGCATCCTCTGAAGCTATTGTGGTATTTTAATGGTTCCCTTTCCTATCAGTCACACTTTAAATGACCCTACTTTGATTGCAAGCTACTGCATGATTTCCAACTTTTCCAGTTTCCCTATTTGCAAATCAGTTCTGTTGGTTCCTTCCAAAAGTAGTGACCAGAAATGTACAACGTACTCCAGGTGTGGTCTCCTTAGTGCCCTGCATAACTGAAGCATGACCTCCCTGCTCTTGCATTTAATTCCCCTTGCATCACATTCTATTAGCTTTCCTGATTAGTTGCTATACCTAACATGCTAACCTTCTGTGATTTCTCTGCATTTCAGCACTCCAACTCTCAATTTAGATAATGTGCTTTTTTTTAAAAACATTCTGCCAAAACAGACAGTTTCACTTTCCCACATTATATTCCATTTGCCAGATCTTTGCCCACTTGCTTATCATTGTCCCTTTGTAGGCTCCTTATGCACTCTACACAACTCACTTTTCTACGTATCTTTGTCATCAGCTAATTTAGCTGCCATACCTCTGGTCCTGTCATCAAAATCATTTATCTAGTTTTGAGTTGAGGCCTCCAGCACTGAACCCTGTGACACACCTCTCGTGAAATCTTGCCAGCATGGAAAAGACTGTTATTTGTACAATCTGCTTCCTGTTAACCAGCTAATCTTCTATCCATATCAATGTTACCCCAACACAATGAGGTTTTAGTTTCTTCAATGCTTTTGTGACATCTTCTCAAAAATTCTGGAAATCTAAGTATTTGCACTGGTTTCCCTTTATCTACTTCAATGAATTCCAATAAATTAATGAAGTTAAACTAGTATTTATTGCTCATGTTACCAGAAACGTTTTAATAGCAGTAACATAAGTGACTTAACTTGGGCAATCTCTTGTGTATCACTGATGTAACTAGCTAGTGTGATATGTAACATACGCTTCTTGTTCATTAAGACCATGCACATCTTCCACCTTTTTGAGTGGGCATCCTTCCCTATGTGTCAGTGGTCCAACTAACCTCAACTAAGCAGGATTGGTTGCAGTGTATACCTCCCTGGTAATGTGTTTTGACGGACAAACAACCAATTGTAAGGGCCATAACACCATGGAAAGGGCTCTGACAAACCCTCGGCTGATGTCTTCGGAGCTTTCGGTCTTGACACACGGTTGACCAATGTTGTTCTCTAACACCCCTCCACCGTTGTCCTCGTTTGATCGATCATAAATAAATCTCCAACAGCTGGTTTGTAGTCACATGGGGTTTCCCCACGAAACTTATCGTTCATCATGTTTATCGTTTTTCATGTATGGGGCTGGCATCCTAGTGGAGCGTTAAATGCCTGGGGGTCAGGAGAGTGTCTGTTAGTGACTTGCCCTCACCTACTCTGACATGGGTGAAGTGTGTGTGTGTGTGTGTGTGTGTGTGTGTGTGTGTCCTGCCCCCCCGTGGGTCAGTAGTTACCGCTGGGCTGTTGTAGTTTGGAAGCGGGCTCAGGGAGGTTTCCCAGAGGGCGGTGGGTGCTGGTGCAGCCCTCTTTCCCCCGGGACTGGGGGTACAGTTTGACACACGGGTGCTCCCGGCTCGGCCCCGCACTAACTCTCTCTCTCTCTCTCTGTCCCCCCACACAGAGGCTCACTCCTACACCTTTATCACTGCCTGTGAGTTTAACAGCACCGGGAACTGGGTCTTTCTGGAACAGCATGTTTATGACCAGGAGCTGATCGCGTATTTTGACTATAACCAGAAGAAGTACATCGCGGTGAAAGCCTGGACGAAGTCTAATATGGACAGATGGAACAGAGAGAGCGCGGAAACGTCGTACCAGGAAGGGACGGCTTACTGTCAGAATAACGTCGGTATTATGGAGAGTGAGGTGCTGCCCCGGAGAGGTGAGAGCGGCCTGAGGGAGGGAGATCCCAACCCTGCCCCCTGCCCCGGTGTGTGTCTGAGGGGGGAGGACCCTGCCCCAGGATCAGTGTCGGGCAGCGCCCCGCACTTTCTTTTTTTTTTCCCTCCCGGAAACGTGGATCGGAGACAGTGTCTGAGTTAGGGATCCTCATCCCGGGCCGTCTCTGCTACAGGGATCTGTTAAAGCCCCACTGACCCCACCACCGCCCCCGATCAGTCCTCTACTGTCTCCGAATGCTCTCGATGTAGACGGCCGTTCAGCCCATCGTGGTCGCACCAGCTCTTCAAACTGGCACCAGTAATGATGCTTATCTGCTGCCGTTTCCCCTATATGCCCAGGCACCATTTCTATCCAAATAATCATCCAATTTCCCCCTGGTATGCCTCGATTGAACCCTGCCTCCACATTCACTGTGTTCCCACCCCCTGTTAGAAATTCTTTATTCGGATTTTGGGTTGGGTTACATGGGATTCAGGGTGAGCTTGCCAGTTGGATACACAATTGGCTTAATGGCAGGAGACAGAGTGATGGTGGAGGGTTGCTTCCAACTGGAGGCCTGTGACCAGCAGTGTTCCACAGGGATTGGTTCTGGGTCCTCTTTGGCTTGTCATTTATACAAATGATTTGGATGAGAATATAGTTAGTAAGTTTGTGGATGACAACAATATTGGCATAGTAGACAGTGAAGAAAGTTTTGTAATCTTAGAAAAGGGATCTTGATCAAATGGTTCAATGGGCTGAGAAATGGCAGATGGAGTTCAATCTAGATAAATGTGAGGTATTGTATTTTGGTGTAACAAACAAGGGAAGGGCTTGTACAATTAATTGTAGGGCCTTGGATAGTGTTGTAGTACAGCAGGACCTAGGGGGTCATAATTCTTTAAAGTTTGTGTCACATATAGATAGGATGGTTAAAAAGGCATTTGGCATGCTTGCCTTCATTGCTCAGTCTGTTGAGTGTTAGTTGGGAAGTCATGTTGAGGTTGTACAGGACATTCTGGAATACTGTCCAGTTCTGGTTGCCCAGTTATAGGAAGAATATCATCGAGCTGAAGGGGGCTGAGAAGAGACTTACAAGGATGTTGCTTGGTATGGAAGGTTTGAGTTAAAGAAAGGCTGGATAGGCCTTTTTGCTGGAATTTGGTGGTTCAGGGTGACCTTACAGAAGTTTACGAAATCATGAGGGGTATAGATAGGGTTAATGGTATGTTTCTTTCCCCTACAATGGGGGTTTCAAGACTAGGGGGCATGTTTAAGGTGAGGAGAGATTTTAAAAAGATGAGGGGCAAATTTTTACATTGGGTGATTAACATGTGGAATAAACTTTCTGATTAAGTGGTGGATACAACATTCAAAAAGCATTAGAATAAGTAGTGAACAAGAGGTTTGGAGGGATATGGGCCAGGAGCAGGCAGGTGGGACTAGTTTAGTTTGGGATTGTTTGGCATGGACTAGTTGGACCAAAGGGTCTGTTTCCATGCTGTATGACTCTATGTAGCTTTCACACATCACTTTAAATCTCTACCCTCTTAAAATAATTCTAGCAATCCTTTAAGCTGTTGCCTCATCTGACTTGCAGTTTACACTGGGGCTTTTAGAGTTTGGGAGCTATTGGAATGAGACTAAACCCTACTATGGGCCAGGAGGGGATATTTTGGAAGCTTTTAAAGAACTAGTGTTCTGTTGCAGTTTGTTTGCAAGACACCTAGTCTTGGTCACCTGAATGAAGGTCAGGGCCTGTAGATAGGGATCCAACAGAATATTACTGATCCAGTCAGGGTTATTTGGAAATTGTAGATATCCAGCAATCAGGGCAGAGGAGAGTCAGACACATGGAAAACATTTGAACTTGTTCTTTGCTCTTGCTGGATTATGAAACTTTTCTTTGTTCCAGTTGAACCAATGGTCACTATCCGACCTAAAGCGCCTCAACATGCTGCACAGTTGGCTCTGCTCTCGTGTCATGTCACTGGATTTTACCCTCCTGAGATTGATATCACATGGCTGAAAAATGGAGCACCAATTCCTGATGGTGTCATCAACACTGTCCTGTTATCAAATGGTGACTGGACCTATCAGGTGGAGGATCTCCTCCAGTATCAGCCAGTGTCTGGGGATAAATATACCTGTCGTGTGGAACACAGCAGCCTGGGGAGTCCCAGGAGTGTGGAATGGGGTAAGAGACACAGTATAAATCTACATAATACTGCTTCAGAATAAACAATATTGGAAGTACTCTGATCTGTTGGGGGAGAGGAACAGAATTATGGTTTCAGGTTAACCCATTGTCAGTAATTACAAATGACAACTCTACCCACATTCAGTTCCTGAGAAGCTGTCTTTAATTGCTGTCCAGTTTTTTTTTTTTAATCACATTGCTTGTTATTCCTTTTGCTGTATCACCTTGGTTTTTTTCCAATAGTTTTCAGTAGGAATCCTTGTTAAGGGATCTCTTGACAGTCTAGGCACATTTGTGGGCCATTTGAGTTCTATTAAATTTTATTCTAACCACTTTGAATAAGCAGTGGAAAAAGTACTTCAGATATTTTACTGAATGCATAATCAATGCTATATACCAATCAATCTCATTGTTTTTTAAAATCTACTAGGTTTCTGTACTAACTTTCCTCTTTAGAAATAAAGCTGGTCATGGTCATTATAGTTGACATTAACTCAACTCATCTACCTGATCTCCCTTACAGGCCTGAATGAGGAGTAAGGAGGAGAAGTTGATGTAGTAAGATGAAAGGAATTAAGAATTTCATTCTGAATCCCATTCCCTTGTAACTGTTTGTTCCTTAAAACAAAGATCTCGAGCATTTGTTACTCTTCTGCCTTATGGACTTTTAGACAGCACTTTTCTCCTATAATTAATTATTTTTAATCTTTTATACTCTTGAGTTTCAGACAATCAACATGGTTGTGCACAGTAGCCAGACTTGCCTACTGTACTTGTATTGTCATCTGCATTGTTTATTTTAAATTTTAACCTTGTGTTTCCTTCTGCTCATGCTGTTACAGCTGTTATAATACAATTAATCAACGTTTCAACAGTTACCATTGCAGTGCATGTTGATACTGTGATACTCCTTGTCTGCTAACTTCTATTTTAGTCTTGCCTTTTTAATCAGCCTTTATATCAAGATAAGCTTTTGTCCTTTGTTCTAAATTGCATTCATTTTCCTGGTGCCTCCCTAGTGTGTAAATTTTTTTGTCCTTTCTCTGCTTGTCTTCATTGGTGTTCAAATGTCATCCTCGATCTTCACCAGAAGTAGTGCCAATTGTGCATGAAATTGAAAGGTTATAGGTTGTGATTTTTCTGTCCTTGTCCCCCACTTTTATGGGCCAGAAAACTAGAAATTACTAACTTCTTGCTAAACTGCTTCTACATAGTCATAGAGATGTACAGCATGGAAACAGACCCTTTGGTCCAACTCTTCCATGACAACCAGATATCCTAAATGTAGTTCTATTTGGCCCATATCTCTAAACCATTGCTATTCATATACCCCTCCAGATGCCTTTTTAAAGGTTGTAATTGTACCAGCCTGCACTTCCTCTGGCAGCTCATTCCATACACGCACCACCCTCTAGAAAAAGTTGCCCCTCAGATCCCTTTATCTCTCCCCTCTCTCCTTAAACCTCTGCCCTCTAGTTTTTAAATTCCCCCCACCCTGGGGAAAAGACCTGTCTATTTACCCTATCCATGCCCCTCATGATTTTATAAACCTGTAGAAGGTCACCCCTCAACATCCGATGCTGTAGGGAAAATAGCCCCCAACCCATCCAGCCTCTCCCTATAGCTCAAACCTGCCAGTCCTGGCAACATCCTCCAAATCTTTTCTGAACCCTTTCAAATTTTGCAACATCCTTCCTATAGCAGGGAGACCAGAATTGCATGCAACATTCCAAAAGTGGCCCTAATGTCAGCATATGTCAAGTACAGACAGCAGAGATCGCGGTGAATCCCTAGGAGAATATAAAAACAGTAGGAATATACTTAAGAGGGAAATCAGGAGGGCAAAAACATGACATCCCTATTCCGATACTCAATGCACTGATGGATAAAGGGAAGCATACCAAATGCCTTCACTACCCTATCTATCTGCGACTCTACTTTTGAGGAGGTATGAACCTGCACTCCAAGGATTCTGTTCAGCAACACTCCCTAGGACCTTACTGTTCAGGGTATAGGTCCAGCACTCATTTGCCTTACCAAAATGCAGCACCTCATTTATTGAAATTGAACTCCATCTGCAACTCCTCAACCCATTGGCCCATCTGATCAAGATCCCATTGTACTCTGAGGTAACCTTCACTGTCCACTTCACCTCCAGTTGTGGTGTCATCTACAAACATCCTAACCATACCTTCTATGTTCACATCCAAGTCATTTATATAAATGACAAAAAGCAGTGAACCCAGCACTGATCCTTGTGGCACACCACTGGTCACAGGCCTCCAGTCTGTAAAGCAACCCTCCACCACCACCTTCTATCTCCTACCTTCAAGCCAGTTCTGTGTCCAAATGGCTATTTCTCCCTGCATTTCATGTGATGTGACCTTGCTAACCAGCCTACCATTAGGAACCATGTCGAATGCCTTACTGAAGTCAATTTAGCTCACATCCACTGCTCTACCCTCATCAATACTTCGTTACTACTTCAAAAAAAAATCAAGTTCATGAGTCATGGTTTTCCATGCACAAAGCCATGTTGAGTATCCCTAATAGTCCCTGCCTTTCCACATATATGTAAATCCTGTCCCTCCAGATTTGCTCCAACTACTTATCTGCCACCGATGTCAGGCTCCATGGTCTATAGTTTCCTGGCTTTTCCTTACCACTTTTCATGTTAGCCAATCTCCAGTCTTCAGGCACCTCACCTGTGGCTGTTGATGATACAAATATCTCAGCAGGGACCCAGTAATCTTTCTTTCCTTCCCACAGTACACCTAATCAGATCCCAGGGATGTATCTACCTTTTGTGTTTTAAGACATCCAGGACCACCACCTCTATAACATGGACCTTTTCAAGATGTCTCTTTTCCCAAGTTCTCTATCTTCCATACCCTTCTCCACAGTAAACACTAATGCAAAGTACTTGTTTAGTATCTCCCCCATCTCTTGTGGTTCCATACGCAGGTGGCCTTGCTGCCTTAAGGTGCCCTATTCTCTCCCAAGTTACCCTTTTGTCCTTAATGTATTTGGAAAATCTCTTTGGATTTTCCTTAACCCTATTTGCCAAAGCTATCTCCTGTCCCCTTGTTGCCCTCCTGATTTCCCTCATATGTACACTCCTACTGCCCTTATACTCTTATAGGGATTCACTCGATCCCTGCTTTCTATATCTGACATGCTTCCTTTTTTCTAACCAAAGCCTCAATTTCTGTAGTCATCCGGCATTCCCTACAACTACCAGCCTTGCCCTTCACCCAAACAGAAACATACTGTCTCTGGACTCTTGTTATCTTTTTTATTTTATTTTGTTTTATTTTTTTGAAGACTTCCCATTTTCCAGCTGTCCCAGTACTTGTGAATATCCACCCCCAATCAATGTTTGGAAGTTCTTGCCTAATACCATCAAAATTGACCTTCCTCCAATTTAGAACTTTAACTTTTAGATCCAGCCTATCCTTTTCCATCACTATTTTAAATTAGAATTATGGCCACTGGCCCCAAAGTGCTCCCCCACTGACACCTCCGTCACATGCCCTGCCTTATTTCCCAAGAGTAGGTCAAGTTTTGCACTTTCTCCATTCAGTTCATTGACATTGCAAGAAAATTTTCACTCATCAAATTCCTCTCCATCAAAACCATTAACACTATGGCAGTCCTAGGCTATGTTTGGAAAGTTACAGCCCCTACGATTGCCACCTTATTCTTAGATAACTGAGATCTCCTTAATTAGTTTCTCCATTTCCTGCTGACTATTGGAGGGTGGTGGGGGGGTCTATAGTACAATCCCAATAATATTTCAGTTCCACCTAAATAACTTCTCTGGATGTACTTCCAGGAATATCCTAAGTACAGCTGTAATGTTATCCCTAATCAAAAACACCACACCCCTTCCTGTCTTGCTCTACGCTGCACCCCCCAACCCTGCCCCACTGCATAGCATCTATACCCTGGAACATCAAGCTGCCAATGCTATCCATCCCTGATCTCTTGTCAGTTCTATCTCTCTGGGTTCCTCCTCTTGCTGTACTACCTTTAAATCCTCCTGAGCAGCTCTAGCAAATCTCCTTCCAATTCAGGTGCAACCCATTCCTTCTCCCCCACACCACCTCCTCAGCCACAGGATTCATCTGCTGTATCCTCTATTCCTACTCTGTCGTGATACCAGGAGTAATCCGATTATTACTACACTTGAGGACCTCCCTTTTTTTAATTCCTGCCTAACTTCCTATATTCTCTCGGAATCCAAAACATAGAATAGAATCCGTGCAGTTTGGAAACAGGCCCTTCGGCCCAACAAGTCCACCCAGAACATCCCACCCAGACCCATCCCCCTATAACACATGTAATCTATGCATCCCTGGACACTATGGGCAATTAGTATGGCCAATCCACCTAACTGCACATCTTTGGACTGGGAGGAAACCGGAGCATCTGGAGGAAACTCCTGCAGACCCAGGGAGAATGTGTGGAATTTGCACAGATGGTCACCCAAGGGTGGGATCAAACCTGGGTCCCTGGTGCTGTGAGGCAGCAGTACTAACCACTGAGCTACTGTGCTGTCCAATCTCTCCCTTTTCTCTTCCTATGCCATTAGTTGCAATTTGTACGACCACCTCCTGGTCCCTCTCCACTTTGAGAATATTTTGCACCCTCTTGGAGATCCTTGATCCTGGCACCAGGGAGGCAATACACCATTCTGATGTCTTGCTGCTGGTCACAGAGACATCTGTCCATGCCTCTGATAGACTCCCCGATTTACAGTTAATCACTTGGGACCTGACGTACCCCTCGTTACATTCGAGCCAGTCTTGGTGCCAGAAACCTCATTGTTACTGCTACATTCCCCGAGAGTCAGTCACCCCCTACGTCTTCCAAAACAGCATCCTGTTTGAAATGGGGATAGCCACAGGAGACTCCTGCATGAACTGCCTCCCTCTCCTACCTTTCCTGGAGGTAACCCATCTACCTGACTGTATCTGTGGTTTTTCTCCCTTCCAGAAACTGCCATCCATCACCTCCACCCCAATCCCCACACCCCACCCCACCCCCACCCCCCTCCCCCCCAACGGCCCCCCCCCCCCCCCCCCGCCTCCACCGCCCCAGCTCCTGTAAATTTCTCATTGCCTCTAACTGCTGTTTCAACTGATCCATGCAATCTGATAGGATTTGCAAACACACTTCCTGATGATATTGTCTGCAGGAACATTGAAATTCTCCTTAATCTCTCTCAACCAACAGGAAGATCACATCACTCTACTAAAGGCCATCTCTGCACCTTAACAGTCTCGAGATCCAGAAAATAGCACAGTCTTAATGCTCTAAAAACATTGCTCCAGGATAACTTGGGTCCTATGTTTTTATATTTTTAAATTATAATCAAGAGACAGATCTCTTAAAAATATAATCAAAAACCTATACTAATCACTAGTAGATTTACAAATATACTGTAGGGTTACACTTTTTTAAAAAAAACACTGAACTGCTCCCCTGCTGTGAGGCCACAAACACCAGTTTCTCCCAGGTCAGCTGTATAATTGAAGAAGCAGCTGAACATGTTTGGGTTAGGACACTAAGTTGAGGAACCCCTGCTGCTATATCCTGTGGTGGAAATGATTTGGCCTTCAACACAGTTATCTTCCTTTGTGCTAGGAATGACTCATCAGAGCTTCCCCTCTGCTTGCTGGCTATTGTTCCTTGATACCACTTTGTCAAATGCTGCTGTCAACCACTCATCTCACTTTTGAGATGCTACTTTTTCCTGTTTGGACCATGCCTGTAATGAAGTCTGGAGCCAAATAATCCTAACAACCCAAAATCAGCTTAGTTTTGTGGACAGATGTACTGGACAATTTTCTGCATATTTCAATGTATGTAGCTGTACTGAAACTTAATAGCATCCAGAGGCAATGTTCATGACTTGCAAGTCACTTCCCCCAACTGTAAACTGCTGTGCCACCTTCTCGGGTGGGTCTGTCCTGCTGGTGGGAAAGGACATACCAGCTCAGTTCCTTCAAATCTTAATGGACATAATTGCCCTTAATCAGATGTCACTCATGCCATGGAGGCTACTAGAATCTTCCTTTTTAATTCACTTTCAGTGTAACAGTCATACAGACTATTCTGGAAATCTACTTGCAGTGATATAGGAAAATGCTGCTGGCAGTCTATTATAGTCAGCACTTCCTACTTCTTTTTTTCTCCAGTGAACTCTGCTGCACCATCCCGCAAGAAGTTTGCAGACTTTCAGCTACTCTTGTGCTTTAATATGATTCTAGAACATAAAATGAAAGAATGGACAAGGAGTACAAGTTAAATGGCAGGAGATGGTTCCTTTAATTCATCTCACTTCTTCTGCCAAGTCAAAGGAGTGGCTATGGGCACCCGCATGGGTCCCAGTTACGTCTGCCCTTTTATGGAAAATACGGAACAATCCTTGTTCCAGTCCTACACTAACCCCTTCCTGCAAATCTTTTTGTTACATCAACAACTGCTTTAGTGCTGCTTCATGCTCCTGTCAGGATCTTAAAGTTTATTCATTTCATTTTGCCTCCAATTTCCACCCCTCTAACTTTCATGTTGCCCATTTCTGACACTTCCTTTCCTTCCCCTCTCTGCATCTGTTTCAGGAAATACACTGTCCACTGCCAAAACCCCTGACTGCCATCGTTACCTTCACTACAGCTCTACACACCTTATGTCTTCCAAGGACTCCATCCCATTTTCCTCCAGTCTTGTGTATTGTATTCACTGCATCCAATGTGGCCCTACTGTACATTGGAAAAACCAAATGCAGACTGGGTGACCAGTTTGCATCACACCTCTGGTCTGTGTGCAATCGTAATCCTGACCTTCCTGTAGCTGGTTGTTTTAACACAGCATCCTGCTTGCATGCCCAATTGTCCTTGGCATGCTGCAGTGCTGTGGCAAATCACAGCACAAACTGGAGAACAACATCTCATCTTCCAAATAGGCACTTTACAGCCTTCTAAGATTAATAATTAAGTTCAGCATCTTCAGATTGTGAACCCACTGCCATTCCCTCCTTTTCTAGCTTTACTTGTTACTTTCCCTGTCACCATGTACCCCCTCCACCTCAAGTGGGACTGTCTGTTCTTTCCAGTCTGGCAGTTAGACACACTGTTCTGCTATTCTCACATTCCAATCACTTAATCTGCTCTATAAACATCCCTTCTCCCTCAGTACTCCATTCTCCTCACCCACCTGCTGTAGCATAAATGCTGCCCCCTCCACACTTCACATCAGCTCTCTAGAATCATCTAGACTTGACGTTAGCTTGCTCCCTCTCCATGGATGCTGCCTGACCTGCTGTGATCTCAGCATTTGTTTTCAGTTTGAGACTGCTGAACTCTGGCAGAGGGATTTGCATAATCAAATAATTAGCAATAAAACAAATGGATGTTTATTACATGCAAAATGGAATATAAAGTAGGCAAGTTTTACTGCACTTGGTTCAATGCATTGGTAAAACTACAACTGGTGTACTGTGTAGTTTTATCCTCCACATTTTTGAAGGGCACCATTGTGTTGGAAATAGTTCGGAAGATTCACTTGTCTTGTGGGGTAAAAAGCTTATCTTATGAAGAAAGTTTGAACAAGTTGGACCTTAACCCATTAATGTTCTTCTGTGAGCAGTTAGTTTGTGGAATTACTTTCCTCAAAGTAGTGGAAGTTGTCATTGAATTTATTCAGGCAGCGTTATGTTTTTGATCGACAAGGACATTGAAGGCTGTGGAACCAGGGTGGGGAAAGTGTAGTTAAACTGCAACCTGATCAACTATGACCTTGTCAAATGGCCTACCCTGTGCTCTTAAGTCAAGTTCTTATTTACTTTGAACAAGGACCTAAAACAGAAGTTAGCTCCCAATTATGACTGTGAGTAAGCTACTTATGACACCATTTGTTTTGTTTTGACTTGAACAGAGATACAGAGTATTCCTGAATCGGCACATCCCAAGATTGTTGTTGGAGCCCTGTTCTTTGTGGTTGGACTGATCATCTTGCTGGCTGGAGTGATAATGAGACTGAAGAATGCTAAAGGTGAGACTTTTTTCTTCCCTGTCTGAGGACATGACACTCTTACCCAGCTATCTAAACTGTTCTCGTATCACAGTATACAGAAAGCACAAGCTGGCTGGGACCTTCCACATCTTAGTCTCCTGAGCTGCTGACCTTGGTTAATCCAAGTTGAGTTGGTTACTTACCAATTTTCATTGAAAGTCAGCTGGCTTGGGTCTCAATGCAATGTAGAAAAAGAAACTGCCCAAGACTAGACAAGTTTAGCTGAGAATCCCTTCACTTCATTGTGTGGAAGATATGGAGTAGGATTTATTGACCATTAATCATTGGAATATCTGATTGCTATTTCCCAATTATCCTGAGTGTAAAGTAACTAAGGTTATAAGTTTGTATGGATGGTCCTAGATCAAGTACAATGTGTACTCTATACTGTAAATATTAGCTTGAAGGTTCACTGAAGTTACCCTGATATTAGATTCAATGTGACCAGACAGCAAAAGGTTTCATAGATATTGAAGTCGGTAATTGTAGAAGATTCTGACAGCATCTTGATGAATAGGGAATGAAGAACAATAAAAGTTGAGCTGCCAAAATTCAAGGGTGGCAGGACTCTGAATTTGATTTGCCATTGTGAGATTACCAAACTTGTTGGTTGGCAAAAATGCTTCAGTCACATGGCTCATGTGACATGAGTGTTGGATAAGCATTATGAAAGCAGTTGTAACTCCTGTGTGCACTTCACCTGCCACCTGTAATGAAGCTTTACTTTGCAGAAGCCTATTAAGCCCAAAGTGAAACAAAGTTAAAATAGTCAATGCTGTTTGTGAATCAGGTTGCATTGGATAAGAATTGGCCAAAACATTTAAGTAGGCAAGTGACTGCTAGGTTACAGTTGGTGTTCCCTGTAGCAAGACAGTTGCAGAAAACCAACTCAAATCCGTGGGAGATGGGATTAAAAACAGGAGAATCCTCCAAATAGGACTGACTGAAACTGGGAGAGAAGGGAGCTGGCTATTGGAATTTGTTCTGCCAATGTCATATTAGTATTCAGTTTTATATTATTAGTATTCACTGGCATTGAAATGTCAATTCTTGGTGATCCTTCTGGGGTACTCTAACTTTACATTGAACTCATGGGGAACTCATTTGGAATATAGGCATTGTTGCATGCTGATTACTGTGAAGGCATGAATGTAGAGCTGAGGTGATTACTGATATCCTTGGGAAGTGTCCTGTTTGAGCCCATTCAGATCGGGTGAAGTCCTATCTGATTATTGAGGCTGGCCTTGGACTTGCCAATCTCTGTAGTGTCTCTTGCACAGCCTCTGAGTTGAGATTCCTCCCCTTGCTTTGCTGAGCAGCTATGTTAATATTGTACCTGCCCAGCACTTTGGCTGAGAGCTATTCTCAGCTCTAGTCTTCTGTCTATTAGTGTTCTGACATTCCATGAACTGAGCTTCATACAAGAACTATAATCTTGGTTACCGGAGCTGGTTGCGTTTAGGGTTCCTTTCTTCCCCTTGCCTGGACTGGGCAAAGCATTGCTGTACCTGAAAGGTTTGTCACCTCCTGAGGTCAGAAATCACATGACACCAGGTTATGATCCAACAGTTTTATTTGAAAACACAAGCTTTCAGTTGTGTTCTTTTGTCGCCTGACAAAGGAGCAGCACTCCAAAGACTTGATTTCAAATAAACCTGTTTCAAATCATAACCTGGTGTTGTGACTTCTGACCTTGTCCACCCCAGTCCAACACCAGCACCTCCATTGTGACCAACTGAGGTGACAAACTCAACATTAGCCCTGATCTGTGAAGAGTCACTGTCACTCAAAAGCTACCTGTCTTGTAATATGATTGAAGGCTGTCAGATACATCCTTTAGCTTTCTCCATTGCCACAGGATTTAGTATAGCTGTTTCAGTTGTGGTTTGCTAAACAAACTGCATGTTGAAGCAGTATTTTAACAGCTAACAAATGGACAAGGTTCAAAATGCCTTCAGTACTCCAAGGCAATCTGCTGTTTCACATGATGGGTGTCTGCAGCTAAACACTTGAGTTCCAAATTTTTTTTTTTAAAAAACAGGTTATCTGTCATTCTGTTTGAAGGTTAAATGATGACCAAAATGCCAGAAACATCTCTCCTCTTCAAAATTTGTGCCGCTGAATCTTTTACCTTTGCTCAAGAGCAGAGAGGAGTCTGAATTTAACATTCAGCCAAAAGGCAGCAGCCTAAAATATCATGTTGGTGTATCACCCTGTAATGCTCAATCTCAAGTGAGACTTGAACCATAGGCAAACTAACCTTTGTTTCCTTTCTCTTCCAGCTATTCTGGACTCCAGCAATCATGGCCCACGTAAGTATACCAGCTATTTTGGATCTGGTGGGAGAAGGCTTTCTCAAGGTGCAAGTTCTGACCAATAGCAGCATTAATGCTAGAACATGTGAATTCGGAATAGGCTTAAGCCATTAACTCCTTGAAGCTGCTCTGCCATTTAAATCAGGTTGTGGCTGTCTGTCTCAATACTGCATTTCTGTCCACCCAGACAGGTACATCATGGATGGGTAGTAAAACCTCCCCACTGAATTGTATTGAAACTGCCCCAAAACCCACTTCATATCAGATTTTGCTGGTTGCAGTGTAGCTTCCATCTTTCCTGTAGGTGAAAAACTGCAAACCCTATTTCCACCTGTTTGTAATAACTGAGCAATAACACAGAAATCTCCTGGAAACTGGAGATTTTTTGCCAAACCTGAACCATCCTGGACCCTAACCTGTCACAGACTGATCTGTTTGTTTGTATGAGTGGGAGTGCTCCTATCACTAGATTTTAGTCTAGATTTTCCTCCAACCATAAGTGACTCATGATTCCACCTTTATTGCCAACCTTGTATTTTGAGTTTATTCAAGGGATATGGGTTTTGCAGACGGCCCACATCTCCACCTGGAGACGGTAGTGGGCTGCTGCCTTGAATTAATCTAGTCCCTTTGGTGTAGGAACACCATGTTATTAATTAGAATTAGCTTTTATTGTCTCATGTACTCACTTGTGAGTACAGTGAAAAGTTTACAAGCTGCCATTTACAGTACCAAGGAGAACTCCAGGTATTTGACCCAGCAACAGTGAAAGAATGATTTTTCCAAGTCAGTGATTTGTGTTTTCTTTTTTTGCTTTTTGTTTTTTTTTTTTTTTTTTGAAACCACCTCGAATTATTTTACCATCCATTGCACAAGTGTAAAGCTCTGTTGCCAGTGTAACACAGAACTCCAGGGACCATAAGAGATTGGCCCAATTCTGCTCCTTTCAACTCAAGTCTGCTCTACCATTCGATCAAGGCCGATATGTTACTCGAGCCCATTCTTCTGCCTCTCCCTGTAATCCTTGATCCCCTTACTAATCAAGAACCTATCTATTTCGGTATTAAATACACTCCATGACATGGCCTCCATAGCCCTCTGCAGATTCACCATCCTTGGCGTTGCTATCTGTCATTGAATTTTGCAGGCTGACTGTGCAGTTCAGTAATTTATATTAGTTGTGTATGTAAAGGTGGATCCTGTGCTTTCTAACTCAAATTATCTATTCCAGGTCTGATGAGTACAGCTGCCAGTTAACTGTGGATGTGACCTGAGACAGTGGAATGACACTGGATAAAAGGCTCTAAAGTGCTTCTAACTTTCCAATGTGACCGCAGCTCACCAGATATCAGGCTGCTTCACCTTGGCTTTTGATGGCTTGAGGTTAATGTTATGCAATGCTATGAGACTTGTATGCTAACTTTTTATCATGTTAAAACAACCTGTAAAAACATGCTTAATGTACAGCTATTGTAACAACATGCATGATTAACTCCTCCCTCTACACTCCCATCACCCTAATTGAAATACTGGGATCAGTGCTTGGGTGTAAAAAAAATCTTTCCTAGTTAACTTTTTTTCTTTGTCTGTTCACAGCTTTGTTGTAAATGTTTTGAAATCTACATTAGTTACTTGGAAAATTTTATCTATTTTGTATCTAAACAAATTTAATGAAACAATTGATTGATATTAATAATTTTTTCATGACTTTGCATCTGTTATATTGAAACCAATGGTGTTTGTCCTTTTATTGTTGCTCAGCACTTACAACACTCAGTAGGTGAAGCTTTTCATTCTGAGCTAGAACTTGGGGGGCTACAATTAGTTTCTGCATTTTCCTAGCAAAATAAAATTGCAAAAAGTAGGCTTTGTGCATTGAGTTTAGGTGACTGGAGTTGTTTGTGCAATGTGCCCTCCATATGACTGTCCCATGGTAAGGATGAGCTATGCCAGTATGGAAAGGCTGTCATCCACTCACTGCACAATGCAGATCCAGTCCCACAAGCGAAAGAACATTGATCACTTGTGTGTATGATCAGCCATGACTAATCTACCAAATTGTTTCCTTACTTTGGATCACATTTGGATTCTCTACAAATCCAGAGCAAACAGAAGTATCTCCTGTTGGAAAGGACATCAAGTATGTAGCTTGGCAAGATTTGGATTATATAATGACAAAATGTTATCTTGTCTCTGATCATTCCATCTTTTTCCCTGAACTTTGTTGCTCTCCTAGTCTTGTGCATTTTGGTTTTGAGTTCTTGACTCCCTCCTCAGCCTCATCCCATAGTACTACAACCACCTTCAGACAGAGAGCCTAGCTGTTTGTCCTTCTCACTATCCGATTCCATCAAGGAGTGACTGAGTTCTCCCTACCTCCTCATTCTTTGGATTTTATTTTCACTGGATCCAGCCCTGGTAAGTTGGCTTGGTGGGAATAGCCTGGCAGTGTTCCTACCAATGTGTGGATGAAGGAACTAACCCCACTGTAGCAGAACTTGCTGATGATGCAAAGACAATGGGATACAGAGGTTCAGTGTACTGTCAGCCAGCTGACAGCTCATTCAATGAGAATGGACAGGCAGAATATTGTTTAATTGGAGCAAGGTTGCAGAACTCTAATGTGTGGAGCTCTGTGTCCTGTTGCATGAGTCAAACAGTTACAGCAAGTAACTTAGGAAGGTGTTTACCCTGATGCAAAGAAAATAGTATCTAATTATAAGGGTGTCTTGATACAATTGCACAAGATAATAGTAAGACTATATCTTAGAGTACTAGTCATTTTGAGGTATAATCTTGCTTTTGAGGCAGTTGTCTGTTTTGAGGGAAGCTTGAGCTGATTTGGATCTGTATTCTGGAGTTTAGAAGAGTTGTTGTCTTTTGTAATTGTCTTTCAGAGACAGCAGTGGGTTTGGGTCATTTGAATGAGACTTGACTGTGATTAAAGACTACTGTGCAACATTGCAGGCCAGTCAAAGACCCAACGGATGTCCTTTAGGGCTAATTCAGTACTGTGGCAGGGGGCTAGGAAGCTAATTGGAGTTGGAGAAAAGATGGACATGAATTTAGGAAATGACAACACATTGCCCCATATCAAACCTCCCCTTTCTCTAAAATTGCTCAATGGTTTTGTTACTGAGGATAATAACAGCAGATTTTTAAGGGGGAAGGAGAGAATTATTTTTAGTTAATACGGAGCCAGGAAAGAAAATCATGTGGTAAGCAGTTTAGTAGAAATGGGGCTCACATGAACAAAAATTGGATCTCATGTATAAAATAAACTTGGAGTAAAGATTAGGGCAAATAGGAAAGTGTCTACAGAAGCCTACATCTTCAGGGCTAGGGAGAGGGATGTTGGCAGTGGGTTGGGGGAGGGAGGAAAGTGACAGAGGCAGCAGTTTGAATAACGTTGATAAAAAAATCAACAAGTTCCTTACACTATTTCAGTTCTAAGGAAGGGTCACTAGACCAAAAATGTCAACTCTGCTCTCTCTCCATAGCTACTGCCGGACCTGTTGAGTTTCTCCAGCTTTGTTTGTTTCAGATTTCTGACATCCACAGTTCTTCAGGCTTTTTTGTTTAGTTCCTTGGTTGTTGGAGGAGAGAGAATGGATTGAGAGCTTATTCTTGTTCTCAAAACAATCCTGAAGTGATTGACAGTTCAGGTTGAAGGTAATGAAGCTCAACAGTAGGACAAGTGGTCTAAAAAAATCTAGTGATTAGGGTTGAACAATTTGTGCATCAGATACACACAAATGTGTGATCTTGCACTCGACTGAAAACAAATCACAATCATACTATTCCCAGGAAGGCAAGGAGAAAATTTTACTGGAGCTGAAGTTATTAAAAGAAGATTTAAGACCATAAAACCACAAGAAATAGGAGCAGGAGTAGGCCATTTAGTCCTTCAAGCCTGTTCTACCATTCAATAGGATCATGGCTGATCCACATTCCACACATCCACTTAGATTCTTGATCAGTCAGGAATCAATCTCAGACTTAAATATAAATGAGGATACTGCCTCCACAGTTCTGTGCCAAGGAGCACTAAAGACTCATGACTCTGAGAAGGGAAATTGACTCTGAGAAGGGAAATTCCTTCTTAGCTCAGTCTTAAATTAGTATGCCTTTATTCTGAGACAATGCTCTCTGGTCCTAGGCTCTCCCAAGAAAAGTATCCTCTCTGCACTTAACCTGTCAATTTCAATGAAACAATAACAGTTGCAGAAATATTATGACCAATGAAAATTAAAGGCTGGAGATTTGGAAGTCTGTGAGGGCTTATGTGAGTGATTTAGGAAGTTTTCTTGTAGGAATAGATAGAAGGAAATAGGGTGGAAGGTTTTGAGGACTGTGGTATTATTTCAAAGGAAATGGAGTATTAAAAAATAAAGTTTTGCTTAAACTATATAATAGACAAAATTCTGTGTACAATTTTGGTCCCATTATCTAAAGAAAGACATACAGGCTTTAGAAGTAGTCCAAATAAGGTTTACTAGTCTGGTACTAGGTATGGAGGCACTGTCTTATGAGGAGAGTTGAAATACAGAGGACTGAGAGGCAACCTTATTAAACAAATAGGATTCTTGGGGACTTGACAGGGTAGATGTGGAGAGGTTATTTCCCCTTGTGGGAGAGTCTAGGACTAGCGGGTATAATCTCAGAATAAAGGGTCACACGTTTAAAGCATGGATGAGGAGGAATATCTTCTGAGGGTAGGGGAAAGCATAGGATTCTTTATTGCAGATGGCTACAGAGGCTTTAAATATATTTAAGGATGAGAACGATAGATTTTTAATCGGTAAGGGAATCAAAGGGTTATCAAAAGGCAGGAAAATATAGTTGAGGATTATCAGATCAGCCATGATCTAATTGAATAGCAGAACAGACTCAATGGGCTGAATGGCCTACATCTGCTTGTTATGGTCTTTTAAGAATCTAAGAAACGAGCAGGTATAGGACATTCGTCAAGCCCCATCATTTAACAAGATCATGATTCATCTGCTCCAAGTGTCAACTCTTCTTTCATACCAGTTCTTCATCACCTTCAGTTCCTTGATATTCCAAAAAATCCATTTACCACCTCTTTAAATGCTTCCAGTGATCCAAACTCCACAACTCTCTGGGTTGAGAATTCCTGACACTCAATACCCTCTGGGAAAATAAATTTATTTGCATCTCAGTCTTATATGAGTGTCCTCTTTTTCTGTAGCTATGCTAATTAATTCTAGATTCCCTTATTAATGGAAGCTCCTACCTTGTGAAGCCCTTACAGAATCTTGTATGTTTCAGTCAGATCAGCCCTCATTCTTCTAAACTCAATGAATAAAAGGGTAATCTGTTTCAGTCTTCTTGATAAATCAAATCCTTTATTCAGGAATCAGCTGAGAGGTGGCATAGTGGCTCAGTGGTTAGCACTGCTGCCTCACCGCGCCAGGGACCCAGGTTTGATTTCACCCTCGGGTGGCTGTCTGTGTCTGCGTGGGTTTCCTCTGGGTGCTCCAGTTTCCTCCCACGTTCCAAAGATGAGCAGGCTAGGTGGATTGGCCATGCTAAATTGCCTGTAGTGTTCAGGGATGTGTAGATTAGGTAGGTTACAAGGGGACAGGTCTGGGTGGGATGTTCCGAGGTTCAGTGTGGACTTGTTGGGCCGAACGGCCTGTTTCCACATTGTAGGGATTCTATGATAGAATCTCCTTTGAATTGGCTGTAATGTAGTATAACCATTTTTTAAAATATAGGGACCTAAACTGTACACACTACTCTGGGTGTGGCCTCACCAAGACCCTCTACAGTTGTAACAAGACTCCCCTCTTTGTAAACTCCAACTTAAGTTCAAATCCTGAGCTATATAGGCCAAAGTTCCATTTGCCTTCTTCATGACTTGCTGCACCTGCATGCTAACATTTAATGTATTATTGTCAAGAATACCCAAATCCCTCTGTACTACAATTTTTAAGAGTCTCTCTCCATTTAAATGATAGTCTGCCTTTTGACTCTTGCTACCAAAGTGCATGTCCTCACACTTTGCTATATTAAACTCCATCTGCCAATTTTTCACCCACTCATTCAACCTATCCATACCCCCTTACATATCCTTTATGTTCTCATCACAGCATGCTCTTCCCTCTATGTTTGTATCATCAGCAAATATGGATATATTACACTCTGCCCCTCCAACAAGTCATTAACATAGATTGTAAATGAGGCCCTCAGACTGACCTTTATGGCACTCACTTGTTATGCCTTTCCATCCTGAAAAAGACCCATTAATTCCAACTCTCTGGTATTTTCCCATGACAGAGGTTAGTCTAACTGTCCTATAATTTCCTGCTTTCTGTCTCCCCTGCTTCTTGAAAGAGGGCACCACGAGTGGTTTTCCCATCCAGTGAGGTCTGGAATATTTTGACCAGTGCTTCCACTATCTCTGCAGCCAGTTCCTTTAAAACCTAGGCTTATGAGGAAGCGGCTAGAAATTGTCTCATCTGTGCCATGGTAAAAGCAACTCCAGGAGTGCTGAACAGGACATCTGAAGACAGAGGACTGAGTGAGTTGAGATGGTGGTTTGAAACATTCTGGATAAAGAGTCAGTGAAAATGAAATTGGACTGCATTGAAGAAACATCAGAGAGACAAAGTTGAGGTGGGGTTTGGAGATGGTGCAGTCAACAGCACAAACTTTAAAGCAGAGCTG